TCGCCCTGCAAATTTCAGAACTGTCTCTGAACTACTGCAAAAGGGATGCAGAACTGGACGGTTGAAACTCATATGTTGCTAGTTGCGCTGTCATCAATGTTACTCATCCTGCTCATGTGAAAGCTTTAAAAAAATATGCAAAAATGTACTATCCCTGCACCAAAATTTAGAGACAGTCTGGCAAAGCGCTTGTTCCGCCTTACACTCAGAAAAAACATTCCTTAATGCTAGGAAAAAAGTATATTATTGTAAGGAAATATTACCTTGAAATGGCTCCAATGAATGGCTGCCGTAATATGAGTAAACGATTTGACTCAGTTTAACCCTTCGGAGGGCGCGCTTTAAAAGCTGCACAAGAGGGCGCGTCGCGGCAACTTAGCCGCAAGGTGTATGTCAAACGTTGGCTGCTTTTTTTTTAATTTATGTCGAAAAATCATTCAAATAAAACATTTGAATAATTTGTGTTTATACTGAAACATATTATAAGCATTTATTTTTTTAAATTTGTGTGCGTCATCATCAACAGTGGTTGAGTTTTATTAATGTAATTCCTGTAACATTTTCTGTTTAAGGCATTGTATTTATGACGAAGGATGGAGTACGCGGCGTAGTGAGAAGACAGGCCTGATTTTTTATAAAGTTTAAATGATTTAGTTTTCTGATTTTTTAAATGCTTTAGTTCGAGTTAAACCACAACGAGTTGCGAGGTCCGGTATTTTCTTTAACAAGAGGAATGAGTTTACTGAATATATTATTCAAGATTTTACTAAAGTGTAAGGCACTGTTCTCAACATCCCCATCGTACTCAGGCCAGATTATTTCAGATATAACTATTTTAAGCTTGTCGTAGTTAGCGTATTTGAAAGAATATCGCCGACCTTTCGGCTCTCTATTTTCAGGACAATAACATGAATCGTAGGATGGTGCCAAGGACAACTCAAATGTTGGGTGATAAGGGTCTACAGGTATCACTAAAGGATCAAAAGACATTTACCTAAGTTGTTGATAACTGAATTAATCTGATATAGACCAAGATCGGAAAGTTCGTTAAGAAATTGGTTAAGTACATCCCGAGAAGAATTTGGCACCAGAATTCCATCCACCGAATCCCAGGAAACACACGCTAGATTGAAATCACCCAACACAACAATCGAATCGGAGGGCTTGACCATGGCAAATAAAGAGAGCAATAATGAAGAATGTTTGAAGTAAACCGAAGGGTTAGAGTTTGGTGGAATATAAATTGCAACAAGAAAAACACTACTTGAGGGGCACCGTATTCTAACACAGAGGAATTCAACATCATCTGAACCTGTGAACACAACTTTTTCAGAGGAAAAGTCGGTCTGAACAGCTATTAAAACACCCCCGCCTTTTCTATCTAAGCGATCATTTCTAAATATTTCATACTTACTACACAATATTTCACTATTAAACACATTCGGTTTTAGCCAAGTTTCAGTAAAAACCAAAATTTCATAATTTAAATCAAAAGACTTTAAGTACAGCTCAGTAGATCAGTAGCTAGAAAAGCGCGAAACAAGCACAGATTTATTCGCAGGAACTACGATTAATTCTTTCGGTAACGGGGAAGTTCCACTTTGAGATGTAGGTTCAGACACAGTTGTCGTTTTTGCTGCAGCCCTTGTAGTGACACCTGAGGAAGATGCAGCTTGAGATAACTCAACACACGGAGAATTAAAACTTATTAATTCCTTATTCAAGCCGGGAGTAGGCAAAGAATCAATGGGCGGAGTGTCAATGCCTAAAGCAATGGGATTAGGAACAATGCTGTCTCCTCCATACTTCCGCTTTTTTGAAGCTTGTTTAAGCTTGGGTGATGGAGAGGATGAAGATTCAATGCACTTAAAGTCTTTAAATGCATCTTCATAGCGCCTAAACTTTTCGTTTAGAAGTTTTAACTCCTTACCCAACTCCTGGAAGCCACTTCTGGCTCTCCTAAACATTTTATAAAGCTCAACTTCGGTTGATCTGCACTTGGGGCAAGACCAACGAGCACCTTTGTTATCGGTTATGATATCGGCCACCCTACCATTGATACCAGCACATTTTACGTGAGCTAAGTCATCACACAACCAACACTCAACGCAACGCTCTAAGTCGTTTTTAATGTTAAATTTTTCAAAACATCAGGATGAATACATTGCATCGCGAAGTATGTAGTAACAATTTGTATGTACAAGAAAAACTCACAGTGTACGCTTTTAGTACGATAGTAGCAAAGATGAGCGTTTGAGAGACACAGAAGTCTAGGTATTGTAAGTTCAATGGTTAGTAGCCGTGGGTAACACAGTGCGGCGCCGCGCCATTGCGCTGATACCGAGAGCTGAGTTACTGGCGCCGATACCGATTGTCACAACTCAGTGACGCAATGACGCCATCAACACCCGAACACGGACAACACCGGGCGGCGCAAAGAACACAGCGAAGTGTCACTTGTAAAATGTGCCGCACAAGGCGAATTTTTACAAGGTGGTGTTGTTAAAATTACCCGCGGTCCTTCTGAATGTGAAAATTATGTGTTTGTTGTATTTTTGGGTTTTGAACTTGGGTATATTTGAATTGGTTTTGCCCAACCGATACCACCTTGTATTAATTCAGCTTAGTTCAACACCGGGTGTCGCAAAGAACCAGCAAAGAACACCCGAAATAGAAGTGTCTCTTGTAAAATGTGCAGCACAAGGCGAATTTATACAAGTTGGTGTTGCTAGAATTCGTCGCTTTCTTCTGAATGTGAAAATGATTGGTTTGTTGTATTTTTGGGTTTTGAACTTGGGTATACTTGAGTTTTTTCTCAACCGATATAACTATGGTGACCATATTTATGGGAGCCGAATACGGGACAAAAATAATTTTGCGAATTTTTTCCACAAATGCTAAAAGATCTTAAAACCATTTTAAACGATCCTAGATGTATTAGCCTTAAAACAGCACCACTGTAGTAGCATCACACATGTGTAGGATACGTTTCTCGAGATTTTTACCCCACAACAGTTTTTACAAAAAAATCGTTAAATTTTAGTATAATAAAGTACAAGTTTGAAGTAGCTGGGACTAATCGTTAATTTTTGGCAACGTTTTTTTTTTTGTTTGGTGCTACGCATTTTTTTTCATCCCAAGGAAGTATGTTCGAAAATTTTTTTATAGGGAAGCAAATGAGTAGCACGTCGCACTTTATTGTACTCATTTTAATGAGATACAAAACTGCAAGCAAATTTTTTCTAAATTTTCTGATTAAAAAGTGCGATATTTTGGTGCAACTTTGCAGAATTAATTTTCATTGTTTTTGCACAAAGTCGGATATTTGGATTTATTTGGTTTTTATTAGGAAAGAGGCTTTACTTTCATAAAAAAATAATAAACAAAAAAAATAGGCAAACTTCGCTAAAGTGTATAGTCCTAATTTATATTTTGGTCACTGTATGTATTCCTCACTTCGAGCCAAAGGCTTCCAGATTGAAAAATAATAACTGATAATGGAGAAAGTTGCGATCATATACCAATATTATTTAAAACAGGTTCATAGGCATGCCATTTTAATGAGCTGTTAAGGCGTCGAATTAACGAACATCGAATACGGGACAAATACAGGACATTAAAAGAAATACAGAACATTTAGCGTCCCGTATAAAATTAATTAATTACCAGGACAATTGGTCAAAAAAGAGGACTGTCCCGTATAATACAGGACGGATGGTCACCGTAGATATAACTATAACCTTGTATTAATTCACTTTAGTGCAGCGTGCAGCAATAAAGGAAATGAGCTTTATCCTGAAGAGGCGCCATTGCTCCAACACACTGTGCTGATTCCGACAATGGCGCTGAAGGTAGTGTGTCAGCGCCAAAAAATTTGCGCCGTTACCCAGGCCTACACAGTACAAATTCATTTGTTCAATTGCATACCTTTGACAATCAGTATACATATTTATGTACATGAAATTATGAACCGAATCGGTATCTCCCTCTCTTTCTCTTACTTATTTACAGTACATAGCAATTGCTGGCAAAGGGGAACATCCACGAATGAACACACCAATGATGTCGTGCAAGCCAGTGCAAGAACCAACACCGTGATTTCCCGAAGTGCCGCTGTTAGATATTTGACGATGTAAAAACAATACATTGACACAGACTTCTGACGACGCCTACTACAAACGTGTGTGGGCGCTAGCGCCATTTAACAGTGTCTGGCACTCCCATCACCGCCCTTACATCCTATTTGTATTCGTTCGCCTTCTTTTTAATACGAGGTGAAGTCGTGTTCCATATCGCGCCCTACCTTGCGAACGACCAACTGAACGCTATGGTGCGGCCACATTTGTTGATTCCGGTTCTCGTCGGGTTCGTTAGTGCATACCAATAGTGCCAGCACGTTTTTTCTTCTTCCTTTAGTTTATTTACCACAGCAAACACGAGGTGAGTGTTGCTGATTCAATTGTGCTCCCAATCCCAACGCGCTTTCGACTGCGGCAAAGCAGTAACGCCACCAAACTCATCAGTTGAAGGTTAACTCTCTTCTAAAACGGTTGTATTTTGGTGACGGTTTTTATTTTCGTATATCCTAAACATCCGCAAATGTTTGAAACGTGCTTACAGACGCGAGTGCGTTGTTGAATTTACGTTTCCTAAATAAAAGCTCGAGGAAAAAATTTATCAATTGTGATACCTTTTATAATATAATTGAAAAGTGAACCCACTACATAAGATACATAAGTATATATGTATGTATGTGCGCACATACACTACTTAGAACATTACACAGTTTGACTATACCAACTACATTTGTATGTTTATAGATACGTACTTAACTTCAAATGCCCTTTGCTTCGTTGTACATTTAAGACAGTAGTGTACCTCATTTCAGTCTACTTTTAGTGCCTGTGGAAATGAGACATTCAGACTTAAGGGGAAATTGTGAAATTAAAAATATGCCTATCATGTTAAATATTCAAATGAAGTTTGATATGTAAAAATCAATACATCATTTAACAATTTGAAAAAAATCCTTGTGTGTAACTACTAGTATCAATTATTAAAAAAATTTAAGAACCATTCCTATATGTTTGCAACCATGGCTGTAAAGATGCTGTACCGAGGACCAAGTACAAGACTTGAAAACTTAATAGAAAAAATTCAGGCGACAAAGGAGATTGAAACTACGGGTAAATATTTATCAAATAATTTGTTTTTTTTTTTCAAAACAGTTGTTATGGCAACTATTCGGGTTGAAAAAAAATTAAAATCAAACATGATGAAGTTAATAAAAAAAAATAAAAAATAAAAAATGCGATTTTTTAATGTAAACATTTTTATTTTAATCTCACACTCTGATGGAAAGCCAAGGTGAAGAACATCACATCACATCCACAGCACATCATAGCAACAATTTTTCGCTATGTTTTCGATGTTTCATGTATCTGCTGTTGTACCATATACGTGGTACATGTGACAGACATAAACTGTCATATATCATGAACCGCTGGACCGAATACGGGCACACGTTGCATAACCCATCTGCATCATAGTCCGAATATACCGTTTAAATTTAGTAGAATTCGTGCACTTATTTTTTTATTTAAGATGGGAGGTGCCACGCCCCTTTTTCCAATACCGCACATTTTTCTCCATGAGTATGTAATTATTTCATATGTCTCTATACCGATTTCCAGTAATCTACCACAAATATTTCAAGAGATATACCAGATGAAAATTTTTGTTAGTATGGGTGGTGCCACGCCCCCTTTTACGAATTCGGGCAAAATTCACATAAACCATCTGCATGATAGCCTGAATACGCCGTATAAATTTGGATGAATTCGGTGAAGCCGTTCTCAAGTTATAAGCTCACACCAAAAACGTGTACTTATTTTTATACATAAGATACATATGCCACGCCCCCTTTTCCAAGTTTGGACAATTTCCACATAAAACATAACACAAACCATCTGCATAATAGCCCGACTATGCCGTATAAATTTGGTTGAAATCTTGCACTTATTTTTTATATATAAGATGGGAGGTGCCACGCCCTCTTTTCCAATACCGCCCATTTTTCTCCATGAGTATGGAATTATTTGATATACCTCTATACCAATTTCCAGTACTCCACCACAAATATTTCAAGAGATATACAATATAAAAATTTTAGTTAGAATGGGAGGTGCCACACCCCCTTTTACGAATTCGGGCAAACTTCACACAAACAATCTGCATGATAGCCTGAATACGCCGTATAAATTTGGTTGAATTCGGTGAAGCCGTTCTCAAGTTATAAGCTCACACCAAAAACGTGTACTTATTTTTATACATAACCACGCCCCCTTTTCCAAGTTTGGACAAACTCCACATAAAATATCCGCATGATGGCCTGAATATGCTATATATAAATTTGGTTGAATTCGGTGAAGCCGTTCTCAAGTTATAAGCTCACACCAAAAACGTGTACTTATTTTTATACATAACCACGCCCCCTTTTCCAAGTTTGGACAAACTCCACATAAAATATCCGCATGATGGCCTGAATATGCTATATATAAATTTGGTTGAATTCGGTGAAGCCATTCTCAAGTTATAAGCTCACACCAAAAACGTGTACTTATTTTTATACATAACCACGCCCCCTTTTCCAAGTTTGGACAAACTCCACATAAAATATCCGCATGATGGCCTGAATATGCTATATATAAATTTGGTTGAATTCGGTGAAGCCATTCTCAAGTTATAAGCTAAGTCACTAATTTTTATATAAAAAATAGAGACGCCACGCCCCCTTTTCCGAATTCAAGCAAACCTCACATAAAACATCTGCATATCTGCCCGAATATGCCGCATAAATTTGGTTGAATTCAGTGAAGCCGTTCTCAAGTTATAAGCTAAGTCACTAATTTTTATATAAAAAATAGAGACGCCACGCCCCCTTTTCCGAATTCAAGCAAACCTCACATAAAACATCTGCATATCTGCCCGAATATGCCGCATAAATTTGGTTGAATTCAGTGAAGCCGTTCTCAAGTTATATGGTCTCACCAAAAACGTTCACTTATTTTTATATATCAGATATATGTATTTTTGGATAACTAATAGGAGAGCAGCCTGGTTTTTTACATACAACCCTCTAAATTTTTTAAACAGTAGTTTATACATGTTGAGCATTGTATTCTTGTACTGCTCTCAGTAATTTAGGTGGATATTCCGGATGCTTGACGAATACTTTATATTTGTCCCAGTTGCTTTAAAGTCAGAATGTAGGGATTCTACAGCTTGCTCGCTATAGAATCCTAGACCCTTGCTTGCATGCATGGTCTTTTGGAATGGCAAACATGTTATTGTTTTGTAGATATACTTGACACAAACTATTGCAAGTATAAAGAATACTTATATTCGAAACTTAAAAAGAACAAATGTTGTGCGCGCACAATCGTCTCGTTTGAATTGAATTTATCGGCATTTTGTGCATAAAACAAGCTAAGACACTTGAACCATACACTAACTTGATTGTATATAAATCGTACAAGTTACGTTACAAAATAAATATAAACTGTAAGGATTCAATTTGTCATCTAGAGCGGGTGCGTGAAAAGGAATAATTTTCATTCAAAATGAGTTTTTTCAAAAAACGGCTCGATAAGTTATGGGCTGTAAAATTTTTACAAGTTATTCATAACATAATTAACCCCAATTAGCAAACAAATATGATGTGCTATGACCTTCGATTTACAGTTGGTTCAGGTCCACCGTGATTTGTCTCTTGTTTTAATTAACGAATGCTTTGTTTCTATATGAAGCTGATTTCGACATTTTGTTTTAATAAAGTTTAGTATCGAAAATATTCTTTCAGAATTTGCATAGGAATGTAAAGCTGATAGCAGACCTTAGCTGTATTATAATGGTTCGTTCAAGTAATTTTTAAATATTTTCAAAACTTGCAAAGACAAATACGAAAAGGCGAAAACAAAAAGAGAAAAACAAAATTTCACGCTGTGAATTTTCAGAGCCATATATTTTTAGTATTCATCAAAAAATTGTACTAAAAACTACTGTGTAGTAGGAAAGTATACTGTAAACGAAGTCGTATCAATAAAGTACAGTTGTACCAAAAATGCCAACACTGTGAGGGGCATGTAACTAGATGTTGCATGTTGTTAGGCGCGCGTGCTATTCTTTTGGAGATATTTAGCGATCAAAATTAGCAATAGCGAATGCTGGAATCCGGCTGCTTGTGACCAGCAGAGAAGGCAGCAATGCAATATTCAGTGAATACGGGTAGGTTCGAAACTGTGGAACTATTGGAGACAAATCCATGTTGGTTAAGAGAGATATACAATTTAAAGGCGAAATACAGTTTGTCATAGACAACACACTCGAATAATTTAGACACAGTCGAGAGTTTTGAGATGGGCCTATAATTTCTTACATCATCTTTTTTTACCACTCTTGAAACATGGGGTAATTGAGGTAATTTTCCATTCATCTATAAACTTGCCTAAAGCTAGAGACTTGTTGAAAGCTACTTTTAGAGGATGAATAAGGGCTGGACAGTTTTTCAATAACTCAACAGGAAACCATCTACATTCGTCTGTAAGGAGGGCTTAAGTGCAAATATTCCCTTGGCAATATCTTCAGTAGATAGCGTTAAGGAACCGAAATTGAGATTCGAATCAATATCCGAAGAAAAATTTTGCAAAGAATCAAGGTCGTCATGAACAAAGTTAGACTTAAAGAAATCCGCGAATAAATTAGCAACATCTGGTGGAATCTCGGCAAACTTTTCACCCAAGAAGACTGACGCAGGTATACCAGAACACGAACGTTTCGATTTATTGTAGTTCCAGAAATATTTGGTATTATTTTTAATGATTGACTCCGCATTACGAATGTAATTATTATAAAGGGTTTTATCCAAGCGATTAAATTCCTTTAAATAATGTTGGTGTTTGATAAAGAATAAGTGATTTCTAGTAAGCTTGAACCTTTTGCAAAATTTGTTTCTTAAGTTCTTAATCTTCTTAAGCTCTTTTGTGTGCCAAGGTATTTTTTATGACAAACTTTTCTTAAGAGGAATATTTAAGAAGCATATCTCCAGCAGTTTAGATTTAAAATTAGAATAACAAGTCGAAATGTCTTCACCAGACAACAAATCATCCCAGTTAATCCCAACTAAAGAGTTATTTCGCTGTGAGTAATTACAATACGAGTAATTAAAATTTATTTTTTCATCAGGCTTTATGCGAGAATATTCATAAAATTCCACTTTTAAAACTAAAGATAGATGTTGTTTATCACTTCGTGAAAGTGGTGACTGATATTTAGAGATAAGTATAATAATTTATATTATCGCTAAGAAATATCAGATCTAAGAGTCTATGGAGATCATTTTCAAAAATATTACACTGAATTAAACCTAGACTTAGGAGATTATCTATTGAACAAGATTCAACCGCTGTAGTCACATTCGTTGGATTAAGACCAAGCTTAGGAAAATTACTAGACCAGTTGATGTTTGGTAAATTAAAGTCACCAAATATACAAAGATTATTATTCGCCAATCGATTATGAACTAAAGAAACAACATTATCCGTATGAGCTTTATAAATGTCAAAATTACTATAAGGTGGGATGTACGACGCCACTACGTGCAAAGATCCAAGTCCGAGGGAGGCTTTTATACAAACACAGAGTTGGTAAAGCATTGGGTCTTCATTGTCCAGCGAAAGTTGCTAGGAATGAAGATTACGCCGGATCACGATTAGTTCACCACCCCGCAAGGAAGAGCTAGTACTTAGAACATCTCGATCTTTACGAAAGACATTAAATAAATTCGGATCAAAACATTCGTTATAAAAAAAGTTTTTGTTCAGCCACGTCTCTACGAACATAAAAACGTCAAAATCCGAATTCGCGCTACCCAAAATAATGGCATCAGACTTTGTGCGCATGTCACCCATATTTTGGAAGAATATTTTCAAGTTTTTGAATGTTGCAGATGTCTCAGTACTTGCGGCTAAGTCAGGTTTCTGACGGGGTCTTCCCGTGGAAAAAATTCGAACAGTCGGACTTTAACATTAGCAGGCCAAAGCGCAGGATCCAAAACCTTGTCCAAACACGATTCGGACACTCCTAATTTGAAGTTAATCCTCTTTAATGTCTTTCTTTACTATTTTAA